CACACACACACACACACACACACACACACACACACACACACACACACCCCAACCTGGAAAAACAAGTAACATGAAGAATGAGTAATTTAATATTGCCTGAGGCTTGTGTGTGTGCTGGCAAGTTCAGGGGTTTTAGGTAGCTTTTAATTTAAAAACAAAAAACGTAAGCACTGATATTTTAAAAATATTAAGCTCCATCTCTTGGTTTATAAGCTGCTATACAGAATCTATTTCCTGTACCACTAGAATGGTCAAGAAACCTGGATTTAGCTTTTGGTCTTGTACACTGACTGACAGAGATCCTAGGTAAATTATTTTATTTTCCTAATATCTGGTTATAATCGTTGCTGGAAGGCCAGACTTTGCATACCCAAGAAGTGTCATCTGGTTCAGCCATATTCTTGATGTTCTTTGGTGCCTTCTATCTAGGCCTTAAAGCCTGTCTTACGTTAGGACTTACATTTAAAAAAGTAAAAATCATAGAATTAACTTCTCAGTGATCTCCCAGGACTTACATTTTTTTTTTTCCTTTGAAGGATTTCCTTTAAAATCCATTTTATTTTTAAAAGACTTACTTCTAGACATTTCCAGGGTTTCCATGCTAAATAACCGTAACTTGTACCCTATTTACCTTAGAGGAATATTTTAATGAGTAATGCAATAATGTATTTTGTATACTCAATTATATAATCATTATTAAAGATAAATTATATTCATTAAATAAAATTTGAAACACAGAAATGTACTAAAATTTACCCACAGTACCACCAGTCATATAAAACTATCGTTTAATGTGTATTTGCTTCCCGTCACTTTTTTCCACATATATGTTTTACTTATTTTTTTAAACACAGCTGAAAGCATATTGTATGTGCAGTTCTGTACATACAGTAAGTCCCCTGCATACAAACGAGTTCCGTTCTGAGAGTGAGTTCTTAAGCCCAATTTGTTTGTAAGTCCAATAAAGTTAGCCTAGGTACCCAACTAACACACTTGGCTATACAGTACTGTACCGTAATAGGTTTATAATACTTTTCACACAAATAATACATAAAGAATAAACACAAAAAATAAAACATTTTTAATCTTACAGTACAGTACCCTGGAAAGTACAGTAGTACAGTACAACAGCTGGCATACAGGGGCTGGCATCAAGTGAACAGGCAAGAAGAGTTATTGACTGGAGGAGGGAGAGGAGGTGGGAGAGGTAGAGTTGAGGGATCATCAGCAATAGGAGATGGAGGGCAAGATGCAATTTCACTCACGCCTGACGTTGATGGCACAGGTTCTGGTTCCTTGCTGAATTCAATTCTATCTACCCTGTTGAATAAACGATCCAGTGATGTCTGGGTAGTAGCTCTTTTTTTCTTGTCATAGATGACACTGTAGCACTGGATTGCATTTTGAACGGCTGCTGCAACCTTTGTGTACTGTTCTATGTTTCCATCCTGTGCCTCAAAAACTAACAGTGCCTCCTCAAAGAAAATCCCCTTGCCATTTCCAGTGTTGTGAATCTCTTTGGGTCTTCAGTTACTTCTTCTTCCTCTTGTCTCTCTTTGTCCTTTATCTGGGCCTCCAACTCCATCAGGTCCTCATTAGTAAGCTCCTCCTGTTGCACAGTAGATTCCATTGTTATTGCCTGGCGCTTCTTAGCAGCACCAGCTATGTCACCACTCCTTTTAAGGCTTGCTTCTGGACATCCTGGGCTTGAGATAAAGATACTGTACTACTGTACTCTATATAATACTGTACAATAAAGTACACAAAAGCACAACCACTTGTAGAGGATACACGCACGTGACAATGTACTCCAGACATGTGAACTAACTTATGTGATTGGACGTGCAAACGCACATTCGCATCTTTGAAAGTTTGCAACTTGAAGGTTCATGTGTAGGAGACTTACTGTATTTGGCTTTTGAGTTTTTTGGCCTTACTTTAAACACTTCTCAATGCTCCCACAGAGTCTTTGTTTTCAGTGGCTAAATTTTATTATATTAATTACTATAGCTTTACTTAACCATTCCTTTTTTTGGTTAAATTTATATTGTTCCCAATTTCTTCTTTTTATAAATAACCCTATGATAGACATTCTTAGGCTTGAAGTTTTTTCTGTGTTTAGGATTATTTCCTTGGTATAGAGCTGTAGAAATAGAATTATTGCACCAAAGTTTATGAAATTTTAGGCTTCTGGATAAACACTCTAGAATTGGTAGTTTTGCTTTGTTTCTTTCCTAGTTTGGGAGGAAGTGATTTTGTTTGGTAACCGGAAGTGGTGGTTTCAACAGAGGTCGATCTTCATTTTATTACGTGCTGAAATTGTGCTTACCCTTGACTGAATGCTACATGTTAATTCTTGTGATAATTTACTTCAACAAAAGGGTTTTCCCCAGGCTCTCATTTGATTTCTGCATACAGTTAAGTACATATTCTGAGTCACACCCTATTGCTGTTACCTAATGTTGGGTGATACCAGGTAACTTTTTTTGAAATGTACACAGACTTTTTTTTTTTTTTTTTTTTTGCCTTACGGGGGGCCTCTCACTGTTGTGGCCTCTCCCGTTGCGGAGCACAGGCTCCGGACGCGCAGGCTCAGTGGCCATGGTTCACGGGCCCAGCCGCTCCGCGGCATGTGGGATTTTCCTGGACTGGGGCACGAACCCGTGTCCCCTGCATCGGCAGGTGGACGCTCAACCACTGCGCCACCAGGAAAGCCCCGTACCCAGACTTTGTAAGCAGATTCTACAGACAAGTTAAGGTTTGCTTTGCTACAAAGTAGATTTTGACATGTTGCTCATTTAATTAATATAAATACCCTTTTTTAATATACTAAATGATCATCTCATTAATTAATGTTCGGTTTCCCCTGTGTTACTGATGGTCTCTCATAAAGTTTCTGATTTGGCTCAACAGTAATTAAATCCCAGAAGTATACTATTTTAGAGACAGAAGAAACCTTGAAGTTTTCTAATCTGAAATTCTTTCATTTTACAGTTGAGGAAACTGAGGCTCATGTGGGATAAGTGTCTTGTCCAAAGTCACTCACTTAGTGGCAGAGTTGGGATTAGAATTAAGTTATTTCCCTCTCTAGTACTTTCCTCACTTTTTTATGCCTAACAACATGTGTTCCACAGGCTGTTTTATGATTAACTCCGATGATTGCCTATTCTTGTCATTTAACGGATGCCATAGTTCACCTCTATACAATAGGAGAAGCTTTCCTGATAAAGTTGTCAAGTTATTCAAGTTTCACTGTTGAATATTAACTCTCCTTTTCACATATTTGGTATCATATAGCAATTTCTTCTTAATCAGCATTCCAG